TATTAACTATTAACTATTAACTATTAACTATTAACTATTAACTATTAACTATTAACTATTAACTATTAACTATTAACTATTAACTATTAACTATTGGCTACTTACGAGTGTGTCCTGTGTGCTTGCGGCGGGTTTGGGCCATGGCGTAGACCACAGCCGCTAAAGTGCTGTAGTGGCTAGGTTGGCGTTGGAAGCTGGGAGGGCGGCCTTGTTGGCGCCCCATGACGAAGTAGGTCTCCATTTGCCCTTTGCCTTTGACCTCGATTATTCCGCGTTTTTTGACTTCGTAGCCTCGTACTCCAAGTAGCTAAAAAAAATGTGAAATTGGGGTCGAAATTGTAAAATTTGGGTACCTGTGCTGTGTATTTGGGTACTTGGATTTGGCCTATGACCCCCGTGGAGTCCATTCGTGATGCTTCATTTACTGTGTTACCCCAAATATCAAAAACTGGTTTTCTTGCTCCGATGACACCACAAACAAGGCTTCCACATGAAACTCCCACTCGAAGTCCAAAATTGTTAAAGGAATCTTTGTTAATCTCGTCTAGTTTTTGACGCATTGCTATGGCAAAGTCGATAAGGGCACATAAATGCTCCGGACTGTCCGTGTTCAAACAATCCTAAACCAAATGTTTCGAGACGTTAAAATAGTAGATACATATCGAGGTGGAAAGTGGTTCATAACTGTCGAGAGATTAGAAGGTTTATCTCGAGACAGAAATAAAACTTTCCAACGAGGTTTGTATACAATTTTATTCACAACCGTATTTTTAATTAATCTTCCAGAAAAAGTAAAAAAATGCTAAAAATATTTGACTCGTCCTCGCAGGTAGTAATAGAGGTTCGTAATGACTAATGAGTCACTTTCCAACTTCCGTCAAGGTTAGAAAAGTCAACATTACACTGGCGGACTTGGACTTTTGGACGATTTGTCATTCGACTGAAATAAAAATGTAAAACGGGCCTTAGGCTAACCTCAGTTTCGGTTTTTGTAATTTTTATCCTAATAGCTAGAGAAAAAATGACACTACAAATCAAAATAATTTATTGAACTTATACAGAGTTATTCATATATATGAAGCAATATTTGAAACTCAAAAATTAGGTTAATTTAAATATTAACTCGTGTTCTATCTCCACTGATAAGAATTTTACAGCCTTCGGAGTGTGGATATGGAATTTTTTTTTTTTTGTAATAGCTTCGGAACCATTTGACCAAATATTATAAAATTTGGAATGGTTACTTGCGAGAACATACCTTTTTAACTAGTAATTACGAAAACCGAATACATCAATTTCCGGTTCCAGCAATTGCAGGCCATATTTTCTGTTTTTTCATTTTTTGCCTCTTAACATAATTTTTTTTTGGTCAAAACAATAGAATAATCAATTTTGAATAAAAAACGCATAACCTTTAATACCTCTAAAATGGATCGTTTTAAAAATAATTTAATTTAAAGTGGGAACTACACAACACTGAAAGCAAAAAGTATGAATTTTGAATGAGTAATATCCACGGCAACAAATGACCATGGTCACATATTTTGCTGTCAGGCATCTGTCAACTTGAGATTGGACGATTATTATACAATTAATCGAAAATATTTAATAAAAGAGTTTACCTCAGACTCCAAACATAACTTACAATAAATCCAAATGGATCTCGTAGCATTTAATTCATAAAAAAATCACAAAAATTTACCGTCAAATTTGACAGATGCCTGGCAGGGATTTATGTGACCATGGTCATTGGTTGCCGTGGATATCAATTATTCAAAATTCGTTGTTTTCATTTTCAGCGTTGTGCAGTCCTCACTTTAAATAAAAATATCTTTAAAACGGTCCATTTTAGTGGTATAAAAGGTTATGCGTTTTTTAATAGAAATTGATTACTCTTTAGATTTAAGCAATAAAAAATAGTGTCAAGAGGCCAAAAAACGGAAAAACACATAAAATGTGACCTGCAACTGCTGAAGCCGGAAATTGAGTAGATGTATCCGGTTTTCGTAATCACTAGCCTAAAGGGTATGTTCTCGCAAGTAACTATTCCAAATTTTATAATATTTGGTCAAATGGTTCCAAAGTTATTACAGAAAAAATAAATTTCCATACCCACATTCCGAGGGCTGTACAGGGTGCTGCATTTTGGATGTCCGAATAGGGAATCTCCGAAATTAAGAGGTTTAGCCAAAAACGAGTACATTTTAGCGAAATCTAAAAAAATTCATATCTTCGTTATTATAGAAGATACGGATTTGAAATAAAGACATTATACAGGCACTTTTTTACGAGGAATTTAATAATGTAGTTAACAATTTTTTTTAGTTATTGGTTTAGCCGTGATAAGATAAACTTGTATTTTTTTTAATGGAAATCATAGGCGGCTATGGCAATTTTGAAAAGCTTATTTTTTTCTGATCTAAAAAATATATATTTGTAACAGAATATTTTTTTATAATTATACTTAAAAAATAAAATACATATTTTGTTTGATAATAGTTGGCCATGGAAAAACCATTTCACTCCACAGGTGTAAATAATAATCAATCAGAGTTTTGTGAACTGTAAAATAGATGAAAAAATAGATAAAATTATAAAGATTTAAAAAATACGATACGTTAGAAGTATTGAACAAATATGCAAGCGCCTCAGAACAAAATTATTACATATTTTAAAAAAATCAAAAAATAGGATAAACAAATGTGTCAACAGTCAACACAATTACAAAAAAACATTTTTTTGATGACCTAATGGAGGTAGAATAACGTTTCACATAGACGGAATTTGGGTATTTGAYTAGCCATATCGTCATTTTTGTGTCATATAAAATATATTTTATTGAAGAATTAAAGCGGCTTTTTTTACAACACCCTATGTATCACTAGAAGTTGCAATGGTAATGTTATCTTGTTTAAAAACAGAGAAATGTTATTAGTCGCCAATAACTTGATTTACGATTTATTTTGCATCTTTTTCATCACTTAGTACTTAGAAAACTCTTTCATTAGTGACACTGGTTGAATATAATATAGTTTAAATCCTTTTAGTTGAAGATGCAACATTTTTTCATGGCCAACTGCGAACAAATATCAAAGATACTTTTTTGCTAAAAATGTATTATAATAATTTGTTATAAATATATATTTTTTAGATAAGAAAAAAACAAGCTTTTTAAAAATGACATAGCCATCTATGATTCCCATTAAAAAAAACACAATTTTATTTTATTACGGCTAAACAAACAATTGAAAAAAATTGTTGACTACATTACTAAATTCTACGTAAAAAAGTGTCTGTATAATGTCTTTATATTTCAAATCTGTGTCTTCTATAATAACGAAGACATGAATTTTTTTAGATTTCGCTAAAATGTCAATTTTTGTCTATAAGTCGAAAACAAAAGACGATAGCGGGATGCGGTTTTAACCAATATTATTTTCTCAAAAAATGAGCTCCAGAATGTATTACTCGTTTTTGGCTAAACCTCTTAGTTTCAGAGATTCCCTATTCGGACATCCAAAATGCAGCACCCTGTACAATTTTTATCAATAGAGATCGGACACGAGTTATTATTTAAATTAACATCATTTTTGAGGTTCAAATATGAATAACACATTATTGTTTCGGAAAATCTACGTCAAAAATAAATTCCAACTAAAATTATCAAATTTTAGTTCCAAACATCAATGGCTTGCGTTGACATTTTTTGAACTGACATTTTGATGTCCAAAATTCCGTGTCCACCACTGTATACAGTTGCAAATAAAAGTTATTATTTTTTTGTTCCAAACCTTATGAGTCGGATTAAGTCCAGACGCGGCCATGTAAGTGGCTGTCGCACTCACAGTTTTAATTTTCTCAATCGTACTAAACCTCTCCTCGTCCAACAATTCGTCAAAATCGGCTATAATCTCATTCAAGAGCCTAATACACTCCAAACCCTTATTGATATCCTCCGAGTAGAACTCGGTAAAATTCGGAATACTCGCGAAGAGGACGCCAACTTCTTCCCTCGACTGGGAGTACAACTCTTCACTGTTACGCTCATTACTCAGAAAATGCTGAGCGACATGATCCGGAAGAATATTCTTCAGCAATTGTGTGTTCGTATGTCGCGTCTCTTCCATGTCATTTAGCTCACGTTCGGCCTGCTGTTTCCACAAGAAATCCAAACGCGAAGTCACCTCGACCAGTCTTGCGTGGTAAGCCACCATCAGGAAGAAAACACACAGAAGAATCGTCATTTGAAAGTACAACGGAATCGAGTTACTGCAACATTTCATTTTTAACCACAAGGGATGTAAAATTCAGTTGCTAGGCAACAGTAAATAACACAGGGTGACAAAAACAAAGTCATGTCGTGACAACTTGACAAATTTTATATCATTTTGTTCGTCTTAGTGAGACAAATCAAATGCACTAAAAAAAATTCAAAAAGTCCACACCTTTGAACTAAATAATTTTTTTCTAATTTAAATGAATTTAAAATACTTTAACTTTAAAAAATCATTACTCAATAACTGTTGGGCCGATTTCTTTCAAATAAAGACCATTTTAAAGGGATAGACTTGTCCGTTAGAATGATATGCAATTTGAAATTAAATATTGGCAAACTTTTCTTCGAACAGTGTTCGAAGAAGTTCGAAGTAAATCGAAGTGATCTAAGAAAAACCCTACGAGTAATTTTTTTTTCATCATTACCATCGTGTAGAACATCTCTTTATTAGTTGTAATCCACATTTTAAAAGAATATACCAAGTAGTTTTTAAGATATGATTCTTTGAAGTTAAGGTTTGCTAATCAAGCATTGCTCCATATAGGAGAAATGCGTGTTAATCTTACATAAAGTTGCATTTTTAAAAAAGTATTTATTTTAAGACTCTTTTTTTTGCTTAAAAATGGTCAATTGCACCTTCTTTGTTCTAATTAGCATAAACAAAAACTGTTTACTTACTTAACACAAATAAAGAGTACCTGCGTACTAATTAAAGCAAATAAAGAGTTTTTTTTTGTTGTAAAAATGACCACTGATCATTGAGCAAAGAGGATCTAGAAGTTTAAGGCACGAGTCTTAAATATAAGGGCAAATCTTTTTCAAATCAAATCACTTTCCATTCAGATTTTGACTTGTTCACTTTGTTCTATCTTTTTTTTGAAAATGTTCTAAGCAAATGCTTTCTCATCACTTTCGAGTGATGTTAAATGCAATAAGTCACCTGATTTATTTTGTTGGTACATTCTACGATTACCTTCAGTTAGCTTGTAGGTAGTAGTTGTTGTGAAAACAGTTGCACACGAAGCAACTGACTTATTGCATTCAACATCAGTAGAAAGTGATGAAAAAGCATTTGCTGAGAACATTTTCAAAAAAAAAGTTCAGAAAGCTCTAACAAAGTAAACAAGTTGGAATCCGAATGGTAGTGATTTAATTTGAAAAATATTTGTTCTTATATTTAAAGCTCTTGCTTTAAACTTCTAGATCCCTTTTGCTCAATGATCAGTGATCATTTTTAAAACAAAAAACTCTTTATTTGCTGAAATGAGTACGCAGGTACTCTTTGTTTGTTTTAAGTAGTTGTTTATTCTAATTAGAACAAAAAAGAGCCTTAAAACAAATACTTTTATAAAAATGCAATTTTAAGTAAGATTAACATGGATTTCTCCTATGTGGCGCAATAGCTGAATAGCAAACTGTAACTTCAAAAAATCATATCTTAAAAACTACTGGGTATATTATTTAAAAAAATTTAGATTCTTTCTAATATAAAGATGCTCTACACGTTGGTGACAAAGAAAAAAAATTACTCTTAGGGTTTTTCTTAGATTACTTCGATTTACTTCGAACTTCTTCGAACACTGATCGAAGAAAAGTTTGCCAATATTCAATTTCAAATTTCAATTTCAAAATCTGAATGGAAAGTGATTTGATTTGAAAAAAATTTAATCTTATATTTAAAACTACTGCTTTAAACTTCTAGATCCTTTTTGCTCAATGATCAGTGATCATTTTTAGAACAAAAAAACTCTTTATTTGCTTTAATTAGTACGCAGTTACTCTTTGTTTGTTTTAAGTAAAGAAACAGTTTTTGTTTATTCTAGTTAGAACAAAAAAGTGCAATTAACAATTTTTTAAGCAAAAGAAGAGTCTTAAAACAAATACTTTTATAAAAATGCAATTTTAAGTAAAATTAACATGCATTTCTCCTATATGGCGTAATACCTGAACAGCAAACCTTAACTTCAAAAAATCATATCTTGAAAACTACTCGGTATATTATTTAAAAAATTTGAATTCTTACTAATAAAAAGATGCTCTACACGATGGCAATGAAGAAAAAAAAAATTACTCGTAGGATTTTTCTTAGATTCCTTCGATTTACTTCGAAAGTTGGCCAATATTCAATTACAAATTTTATATTATTTTAAAGGGCAAGTCCATCCCTTTAGAATGGTCTTTGTTTGAAAGAAATCGGCCTAATAGTTATTAAGTAATGATTTTTTAAATTTAAAGTATTTTAAATTCATTTATATTAGAAAAAAAATATTTAGTTCAAAGTGTGTGGACTTTTTGAAATTTTTTTTCGTGCATTTCATTTTTCTCACTGAGACGAACAAAATGATATAAAATTTGTCAAGTTGTCACGACATGACTTTTTTTTGTGGGCCTGTGTAATTTGAGCTTTGACAGCAATAATGCCTACCCGCTGCAGGAGTTTTTAAAGACTTGTTGGTAGGGTTCCAGGATGAGTACGATGTAAACCGTCAACATGACAATCGCTAGAAATAATTTGATCAAGTAGTAGAGTTTCAAAGCTGTGGCTAACGCAATAAGACATAGAATCCACGTGAAAACGATGTATTCTGGGTGTGGACACCCTGGTGTTATTTCACTGGGTTCAGTCGTACTGGAGGACGAGTCAGTAAGTGCGCGTTTTTTTCGTACCGTTTCATGTTTGATACTTAGCAATGTTTGGTTCAAAACTTTTAATTTTTGGTTGATACTATTGATAACAGCCGTCATTTCACTATTGAGCAGTGAGATATTTTCGGCTTCTTTGACCAATTCGTCGATTTCGATCGATTTGAGTAAATTCCTCAAACAACTGTTATCTGAACAGTTTTGTCTTGGTGAATCTAGAGTCATTATGGTCACATTTCGTCCACTCGTTAACAAATTCAAAAGCAATTCGACGGTGTTATCCGTTTCGGTTAAATTTGCGAAATGTTTGGTGTCTTGCTCATCGTCTCTTAAAATCAAACTAGCCGAACTCGTCATAGCCATTATGATGATAACACCGCAGATAAATGCCGTTCGGCTGCGTCTGTTGTGCACCAAAGTGCAAGAAATCTTCTGGAGGTACTCAGGAAGTTGCTCGAACTCCTCCGCCATCACTAGCACACTCATCGATGTTAAAATGACAGTGATGATGGTCAACAACCCAATAACAACATTATTTAGTTGTTTGAAAGCCACGACTTGGCACACGACAATAAACAGCCAAATTATGAAGCAACACAACATGTTTGACTTAAACATGTCTTCGCGGAGTTGGCTGAATTGATACTCCATGTCTTTATCGATGAATCTAAGAGTCCAAGTGTTCACATTTGCACTTCGCATGCGTTTATTACTCTCAATTTCAATGCTGTGGTCGATGATATCGTCCACTTGCTCGATAGTCGACCGGAAAGTGCCGGTTTTGCGCCGGGATTCCGCCAAGTCGTATTTTTGCTTATTGTAGGGGTAATTAATCGAGTCGAGATCCTCGTCCAAGTCCCCGGAAAGGGCATGATGCAACTAAAAACACAAGTCATAGTCCGGTCAAAATAGACATTTCAAATAACTAAAATTCCGACAGAGCTAAATTTTGGTGGAGATGTCAAAAGTCTCCATCGATCCCATGTGTGCTAAAAAAGTTATACGGGGTCAAAGGTCAAAATTTGACGTTTTTTAAATTTTTTTTGAAAACGGTAAGTTTTATCAAAAAAGTAGCCTAGACAAAAATTATAGATCTTAAAATTATGTACAAAAATGGTCCTTATACCATTCCTGAGATATCGCGATTCTAAAAGTTGAAGGAGTCACGTAGATGATCTGCACATATAGAGTGCGCCAAAACTCGCGCCCCAAAGAAAAATGCTATGTAGGGTAAGGTATCAGGAACATGGAAAAAATTTAAAAAAAATTCTATCTATAAAAATTTCGAAGTTATGAGAGTTTAAATTTTGCAGTTTGACTCTATTTCTGTAGGATAAATAATTTTCCAAGTTTTTTTGCTACAGGCAATATCCTCTTCTAATAAGAAAAGAAAACAAGGAAGCTGTATTCTAAATTATAACTCTGTTTAATGTTATTTGTGGCTTTTGTTGACAAAAGTTTTGTACCTTCACTAAATAATTGTAAAAAAACATATACAAAATCATCAGTATAATTAAATAGACATAAAAAATGTCAAATGTCAAGAAATAAATGTCAAAATTTTTTAAATATTTTTTCCATGTTTCTGATACCCTATCTTACTTGAAATTTTTCTTCTACTTCATTAAACTTATAAATATCTCGATTCCATTAGAATTAAAAAGAATTTATTTGGTAGTACATACAGGTGTTCAAAAAATCGCGCATTTTTTTGAAAGAGAGTAATTGGGTAGCCCCAGAGTACTGAAAAAATGTTCTGTCAAAAATATTTGACATTTATTTTTTGACATTTGACATTTTTTTTATGTCTATTTAATAAAACTGATGACCTTGTATATGTTTTTTTATAATTATTTAATAAAGGTACAAAAATTTTGTCAATAAAAGCCACAAATAACATTAAACAGAGTTACAACTTAGGATACAGATTCCTTGTTTCCGCTTCTAATAGCCTGTAGCAAAAAAAACATGGAAAATTATTTATCCTACAGAAATAAATAAGAGTTAAACTTCAAAATTTAAACTCTCATAACTTTGAAATTTTTATAGATAGAATTTTTTTTTAATTTTTTCTATGTTCTTGGTAGCTTACCCTACATAGCATTTGTTCTGGCGCACTCTGTATGTGCTTAAAATCGCGATATCTCAGGAATGGTGATTCTTAGAAAAAAAGTATAAAGACCTTTTTTATAAATAATTTTAAGATCTATAATTTTTGTCTGGGCTACTTTTTTGATAAAACATACCGTTTTCGAAAGAATTTTTAAAAACCTCAAATTTTGACCTTTGACCCCGAATAACTTTTTTAGCACACATGGGATCGATGGGGACTTTTGACACTTTATTTGTAATGGTGTACACCAAAATTTAGCTCTGTCGGAATTTTTTTTATGACTAATTTGACCGGGCTATCAGGGATTAATAAATAATTTTTTTGGGCACACATTTTCGAATGGGATTTCCGGAGTCCAATCCGTGGTGTTCTCCTCCTCGACTGTGCTTTGCTGGATCCCGGAATCGCTTCTTTCGATGGAAGTTTGAGGCGGAGGTGATGCGGGCGTGGATGGCGTCTTCGGCGAGCTTAAAGCACTCCCGCCGTTCTCGTCGTCGGGCCATAATTTATTAGAGAAAATGCTAGGGCGGGATGCAAGTCTTCGACGGGGTTTCATGGGTTCCACTTGTTTTATTAAATAGGTTGTAACGTCGTGTTCGCGGAGGTAAGAGTCGCGGTCTTGGCCGTTTCCAGGCTCCACTTCGTAAGCCCCGTTCAGGCATTGATAAGTCGATTCGGAAATGTGGACACGTCTGGAATTTTTTTTTTCAGAAGAGAGTAAGTAAATTAACTAAATCGAGCAAATCCTCTCGGATTCGAAAATTAAAAAAATACTATCTAATTCAAAAAATGTCGAAATTGTTGAGGGCTTCGCCCCCGAGTACAACTCGCACACTCAGGTTTTGCCAAAACTCATAGGGGGCTCGCGGCTTTGCCGCTCGCCCCCTTCTAACCTCACACTATCTGATTTGCAAGTATTTTATATAATTAATAAAAACTCACACTATCGGATTTTGTCAAAATTTATATTTATTTAAATTGATTTTACCTTATTCTAAACCTCATATTATCAGATTTTTCAAATTATTTATATAATTAAATTCAATTCAGTTCAATTTTTGAATTATTGAAGTTTTCACAATTTTTCTGCTAATAAACTTGAAATCTATTTTTTGTTAGTTCATTGGGTACGTCTAGTTTTTATTACGTCGACAGAAATAATAAATTGATGTCATAATCTCAAATTAAAAAATTAAATTAAATTACACATTCCTTGGCCAAATTTTCTTTTATATTTGGCTCTTATAGTCTTAAACAACACTTCACAAATCACTACCTAACTATTTCAAGTCGACCAATGTGCAAATTAACTGCGTTTTACACTTGAGTAAACGTAAATTATCAAAAACAATATTGTCAAATTTTTCAGAGATTTACATTGTGTGAAAAAGGTAGTTCCCAAAAAGAAAACTATCAAAAGAAATGACGTACACTTGAGTGCAAAAAAACGCACATTGTCAAAAACAAAAATGACAAATTTTTCAAAATTTTACATATTGTAAAAAAGGTTGTTTCTAAAAAGGTTAGAAAACTATCAAAAGAAGTGTTGTATTGGGTGGTCTTGCCAGTACAGTGTCATAGTCAGTGCTAAAAACGAAATGGAACAAAATAGAAAAACTTGTTAGAAGTTTGGAAGATGCCTGATAATTGTGAAATTGTGAATTGTGACAAAGACAACGTCAAAAAACTGACATTTATTAACAGGCCAAATTACAGTATAAAAAAATCAATTTGTGTTTTTTTTTGCACTCAAATGTATTTGGTGGTCTTGCCAGTGCAGTGTCATAGACAGTGTTAAAAAAACGTAATGAAAAAATGGAAAAACTTGATAGAAGTTTGGAAGATGCCTGACAATTATGAAATTGTGAATTGTGACAAAGACAACGTCAAAAAACTGGCATTTATTAACAGGCTAAATTACATTAGAAAAAAATCAATTTGCGTTTTTTTTGAACTCAAATGTGCTATCGAATTTATAAAAAACTAGGACAGCAAAAGGTCGTAGTTACCTCAACTTTTCAAAAATTTTGTAGTGTAACATTTCTACGTACTTTATGTTAAATGGTTACTAATTTTAACAGATCAACTAAACACCCTAGATAAGTTTGTGGTGGTTGGTCTACCTATTATTTGCAATTTAGCGTCTTTTTCAAAACATACTTAAGAATTTAGTGCTTTAAAACTAAAAATTCAAATTGTCATAATGACAGATATTTGATATTTTCACGTAGCAAAATTTACTCCAACAAAATTTTGCTGTACTAGTTATTTATGAATTCGATAGTACCTCGTTTTTGGCCTACATTTCGTGCATTATTTCCGTCATCTTACAATGTTAAAATAACCTTAATTTACACATTTCTTCGCCAAAATTCTTAATAAAATAAAGGGCTCTTGTGTGTTAAACAACACTTCACAACCTACAATCTAGCTTTTTGTTTTTCGAGACGTTTTTTTTTAATAGAGACAACAATATTGACGCGAAATGTCACCAACTGTCAGATAGAATGATTGAAATTCAACGCACTCTCAGTATTTTTTTTTCAAATCATTTTTATGGACTTTTGGCCGAAATAATATTAATTAACGAAAATAACCCGTCCGTTGCAGTAAAGGTTGGATTGAATTTTCATTTTTCATCTTCGTTTATTCTCTAAAATTTGATATTTTTTTTTCTTTAGTGGCCAACAAAATTGCTCCGTGGTCCCCTCTCCAAAAATAATTGACATTTTGTGCGAGAGAGATGGTTAATTAATTTTTACACGTATTGAGAGCGTTGGAGCTATCACGTTTTAGTAAGATACAGGGTGTTTCACATAATTTTACGAGGCCTGCGCCTGTAAGATGCAATCAATAATACATATTCCGATACGAACTCGATTACAAATTTTGAAAAATTGGATAATCTTCTCTAGTTTGTTCACTCTTTAAAAAATTACGTTTTTTGTTAGTTAGTTATTAAGATAGATAAACTAGAATCATATTTATGCCATCTCTTGATAAAACAAATGATAATTGTTTCTGAAAAACAGTTTATGACTATTAATGAAACAGTGATTAGTTTGACAACTACTCTCATGGGTTTCCAAAATTAAATAATTAATTGTGTATTTTTTGTATCCATTGTTTTGTGACTTTTGTATATTTGGGTGCGTACAAGCCTCGTAAAATTGTGTGAAACACCCTGTATAAAAAAATGTTTTTTTACCCCGGAATTCCGCCGGATTCCATGTGGTTGGCCAAACGCACGTCGTAGGAAAATATGTCGAACTGCCATTTGCGGAGCCCGAGGACCCCACAAAGGACCGATCCGGAGTGAATTCCTATTCTCATGTTTAAATCAACCTGAAAAATCCGAAACATTTTTTAATTGTTAATCGTGAGTGTTTGTTTAAAAAAAATAATTTTTCAATTATTTAGAGAGATAAGACGAGACGCCGCCACTCTTGTGTGCTTATCATGTTTGTTCAAGTGATAAATTACGGAACATCTTTAGTGCAAATTGTGACAAAATGGAAGAGACATCGCAAAGACCTGCTCTAAGTGAAGATGAAGTGTCTCAAATTATCCTCCGGAGACTCAAATCGGACAAATTTATTATTGTGAGTTTCACTCTTGACATGATGGGAGAATGGATTGGATTGTGTGGTGACCATGCGATCTTAAACGTCAATATAAAACCTGGCGATGAACTGAAAACTTCCGAGACACGTTTCACTTTTTTCGTAAAATTGTACCCTCGAGTGCCCTCCATTGTTGAGTTCATCGAGGGGACTGGTGCTTTCAAAAAAGAGATCTTCATGTACAAACTCTTCGCTCTAATGGAAGATGAAGCAATTAGAACTTTAGAAGACTGCATCCCTCGGTGTTATCTCACTTCGGAAAAATACATCGTGATGGAAAATTTGATGAAAACCGGTTATCGAAGCTTGAACAAACATGAATTTTTCGATTGGGATTCGGTTAAAGTCGCTTTGGAAGCTCTAGCAAGACTCCATGCTTCGAGTCTGATTTACGAAGAGAAAAAATCGTGTCGATTGATCGATATTTATGGCAGAGAATTTGAAGAAAGTTACTACAACGACCGTGAAGATTTCCCCTTGAAGAGAGAAATCGGGGCTGCAATTACCGGTGTTTTAAACTCAATCAAACTCTTCAATTTCCCAGAGAAACTCATTTCGGGTAAGGATTTTCGCACAGTTCTCTCCCAAGTGTGTCCCCGAGTCTACGACCTGGTGAAACCTTCGAAAAAATTCCGCAATGTTGTGTGTCACGGCGATATTTGGGCCACGAATGTTGTTATCAAACATGACGAAGATAATAAACCTGTCAAAGGGAGATTAGTTGATTTTCAATGTGCGAGATACGCGCCCCCTGCACAAGATATTATGTCATTGATACATTTAACAACTTCGAGGGAGTTTCGGAAGAGATTTATGTATAATTTGATTGGGATTTATTACACCGATTTGGAGAAACACGTGACACTTGGAGGGTACGATATGAAGAAGATTATTCCGTTCGAGGAGTTTTTAGCGAGTTGTGAGGAACAGAAACTTTTCGGAATGATCCAAGCCGCGACGTATTTTCCCCTAATTTTGCTAGAAAGTCAGACAGTGAAGGAATTTTTCGGGGATGAAGAGAAAAATAAAGAAGCTTTGTTCGAGGATCGAAGTATCCTAATTAGGGAATATATGGACAAGGATGAAAATTATAAAAATAGGATTCGGGACTCTATTCTGGACCTTAAGGATTATTGTGATTATTTGTAATAAATTTATTTTGACAATTATTTCATATTAAATTTGACCCTCGAAAAATTCCCTAAGTTCAGCAATAGCCTCAAAATTCATTTTTTTTTAAATCGGATCCTTTTGACAAACTTCAAGCTAAAATCGTATTTTTCCTTAAATAACACCGACAAGACTTTTTCCTGATTCGCAAACAATCACTCGCCACCTTTTCACACAATTTGGATAATAAGAATAGCTTGAACTATAGCATAACGTTTGTAAAACCGACAACTTTAATCAAACTCTTCCTTCGTGATAAGATTTTTAAACCCAAACTTGTCCAAAATCGAGTCCAGTTGTTTGTAGTAGAACCGAAGCACTTCTTCTTGGTGTTTACCTGTTTGTGGTCAAATGCAAAAACGCCATAACACTTTCCACTTTAATCGCTTTAATTTATTATACTTAATACTGCTATTGTCTTTGTCGCAAGAAAAATTTTGTTTTTAACTTTATATTGTCTTGCACAAAAACAACTACTTCATTAAGTAAAATTAATATTTACTGAGATAAATCACGCTTGAATTGCTTTCAATTGAAAAGAAGATTTATGATTCGTCGTCTCGTGATATAAAACCGCAATTTGGACAAACTCTTCCAGTACCAAAAATGGAAGATTCAAGTTTATTTTCCATTGAAGATTGTGATAAAATCGCCCAAAAATATTTCGAAAGTGACAAAATCCAAACTATTGGTTTTACCGTAGTCTCCCTCAAAAATCAAAGTTACTTACTCAAAATTACCGTCAATGATGAAGCAAAAGAAAAGACTTTGAAATTCTTCGTTAAATCAAACCAAAGTTTACCAAAAATCAACCTCTTTGAGGATTTCAAGAAGACACTTCCGGAATTTGATACCACAATTACTCCAAAACTTTATTACGACAAATCCGACTTATTGCT